ATCTTTTTTAACCTTTGTGAATAGCAAGTGTAACTCAGTTCTTTTATAATTGCCTTACATGTACAATTCTGTTCACATAGAATGTATAGTTATATTTGCATGGACTTATCCCAATGTAATTGTAAAAAGTTAGCATGCAATCCCATATGTAATGAAGGGTACATAAATTATAAGTACTCATAGAAAACTGTTATCAAAAGCAATATCTTTATTTACTTATAGAAAAAAAGAAAGTACATCACAGAACAGGACAAAAGCTATAAAGGGGAATCACTGGTCCTCGCCCCCAGGCCTCAGAGGGGTGATCTCGACGTCCCTGGGCTGGTCACTGACCTCTTGTCCAAGAACGACCTCCTCGGGGACATACTCCAAATGTTTTTCCTGATCGGGTCCCCTAGCCATCTCCTCAGCCTCGGTCTGCACCAAGGTAGCACGTTCACCCTAGTACTCATTAGGGAGGTCGGACAGATCCATCCCAGGATTCTCTGCCTGAAGGACAAAGATAGCCCTTACTGTCCAATATGTAGCCTTTTCCTCCAACTCCACCACCTACTACTCTATTTCTGCAGTGAGCAAAGTAACGCGTTCCTGAGTGAAGTGAAGCGTAGCCTCGAGCTCGGTTCGTTGCTTCTCCGTGGCCTCCAACAGGTTGGCCCTTTCCTACTTGGCCCGCGAGACCACATCCTTAAGCTCTGATTGTTGCTTCTCCGTAGCCTCCTAGAGGTTGGCCCTCTCTTGCTTAGCCCGCGAGGCCCGCTCGGAGAAATTTTGCAGCACTTGGTCTTTTTCATCAGCTTCCTTGGAGAGTCTGGTCACGATCCGCTTAAGTTCCTTCACCTCCTCACCGTGTTTGTCCAGCTCAGCCTTCTGGAAGTCTACTGTGCAATAGGTAGCATCCCTCTCAGACAAGTGCTGAGCAACAGACGAGTCTTTGTCTGCTCGCAAGGCCTTCAGTTCCTGCTGAAGCTGAGCGACCTCCCGCCGCAGCTCAACCAGTTCCTCGGCAGTCCCCAGCTGAGCCTTCTGCTGGGACATGTGGAGGGAAAGCAAGGCCTACACAATAAAGAGTCAGTTTATTTCCCTCTAAAAAGAGATAAAAATCCCCGACGGGGATAGCTCGTTTACCTGGCTCAAGAGTTGGAACGATGTGGACATCAAGTCAGCGGAGTTGGACGCCAAGAACTTCTCAAACGACTCTGCTAGCCCGCACTCCAACAATGTTAGAACTATCAGCTGTAAATGGTCCGGGAGCTGAGCAACGAGTCCAACATAGGAGTGCTTGCATCCTCGATAGCCGGAGCCTGTCCCGCGGGCTCCTTGCCTGGCCTCCTCCCGGGGACTGCAGCCGCTGGTCGCGTCGGCTCTAGGTAAGGCTGGAAACTCATGGGCAGGATGGCCAAACCCTCTCCTTCGGACTCTGACTCCTCGGTCTGGATTTGTCACCTTCTCTTAGGCCTCTGGGCCGTGGTCTGCTCCCTCGGGCGGATAGCCGAAGACGAGGGAGCGTCTGCTCGACGGCCTAGACACTTGTCGGTATCTCCCCAACGGGGGGACTACTGGGAGCAGCCTCAGTTTGTCTGGCAAAGCACCTCCGAGGAAAAGAAAATTCCTTTACTCGTGGTGACTTGGACGCCTTGGGGGGCATGGTCACTGCAAGTGAACACCGTTAGTAAAATAGTTCGCTATAATGGAATTCAGAAAGGACAAGTCAGGAAATTACTTGGGGGGACTCCAAGGACGCGTTTGGGTTGAAAAAGCCATACTTCCTCAAATTTTCGGTCGTCACAAGCAACCTCACGTCTCGACCTTCCTAGGGCAAAGCATCAAATGCTCTGATCCTGTCCTGATCCGCGAGCAGGTTTAGACTGGTCGTTCTATTTACTGAAAAAAAACAAACAGTTTGTTAGCAAAACAAAACAAAAAACTCAGTTTAACAGCTTCCAAAGGAAAGAGAACCTACTCGGATCCTCTTGGAAGCAGCAGATACCGTCATAACGGAAAAAGAAAAACTTTGTCTCATACGCCCTAGTATTGCTTGGGTAGCTATGTATCCCGACTTGTATTGTGTTCTGCTTGGACAGGTACTAGGAATCCTTGTTTATGCTCCTTTTTAGGATGTATGAGCAACCGAGTTCAGTTGCTGTTAGCTCACCCAGCCCGTTCTCTCGACACGCGATGTACATGGCCGTAGCGATCATGTACGCATTCGAGGTAAGCTGGATTGGTGCGATCCCGAAGTGGTCAAGGACCGACCTGATGAATGGGTGGAAAGGGATCAACCCCCCACCCTTGAAGATCTCTTTGGAGATTGCGGCCATTCCACGTGGTAGATCCCGAGCAGTGTACTCCTTCTCGTGGAAAACACGCACGCTAACAGCAAACTGGTTGATTACTCTTCCCAGCTCGGCATCAGTAAGCGCAGAGTAAATTTCCCCAGGAGGATTCGCAGGGGCATCCTCTGTTGGTGAGCTGGCCCTTTCCTCGGTCCTGGTCGTTGAGGGGTCCATTTTGTAATCTGTAGAGACGACAAAAGGGTACCATTCAGTCTTCATACGCCATTCCATATGATGACGTAGAGGAGAGATATTTCCTCCCTAAAAACTTACAGAAAACCTAGCCGAATACTCGGTGAGCCACCATAATGGCTTCGGCCTAACGAAGAATATCTTATCTCCAACAAGTGATCGACTGATAGTTGTCGCACGACAACTAAAGGAGGCCAAAAGCAAAATCAAAAAACAGAAAGGAGTCATCTTTACCTCTCAAGATAGGAAAGATGGCTTCTGCTTTGAAAGAAAAACGAGCACCACTCTGAGAATCAAGGCTTACGAAAGTTTATCCTCCCGTGAGAATGAAAGTGTTTGTGTCTCTGCCTGAAGGGAGTTTGGGGTTTTATAGTGAAGGGAATGGCACTTTGGTTTCCTGAAATCAAGCAACGTTTGGACGGAAAACACATCCGACCGTTGATCATGACCACATGTCGTGAATCAACGAGGAAGAGTGACCGTCACGCCTCGAGAAACCAAACCATCATCCCCTTCCGTTGAAACGCTCAAGCGACGGCGCACTTTCCCTCCTCCACATTTAATGCACCCACACCTGCATTTAATGCTCTGATAGGGAATGTCGTTTCGGCATGGCTCGCATTCAATGCATCTAGCTGGCATTTATGGCACATCAGAAACATATGTCAGAGCAAAGGGCAACACATTTAATGCGCCCACTGCAAAAGACGCAACAAATGGTATCTGAAGAGGTCACTATCTAGAACACTCTTCACCATCCATCGCGAAGCGAGGAGACCCTTCGAATTTTTCATCGTTTGTGAGGCGACATGATTGTTCAATCTTATCTCACGTCGGCTATGAGGTGACGCGACATCAACTGAGAACATCATGGCCTGAGAACATCATGGCCATCTGTCCTCTTGAAAATTGCTAAGTGCAACAGGTCATATCAACCAGCATCTCTTCAAGCACATCAGCTCAGGGCATTTATAGTTTCCAAGGTTCGATCCACAAACCTTAAAAACTAGGGGACTTCTGTTATGCTTGAGAAGGTGCGGCTGACATGGCACTCAACTGGTGCAAGTAGTCAGGTCTTGGGGCTGACGTGGCACTCAACTAGTGCAAGTAGTCAGGTCTTGGGGGTGATGTGGCACCCAGTCAGTGTGAGTAATTAGGCCTCGGGAAGGTCCCGCAGATGTTCTGGCGTAGCTATATCGCGTGGGAATGTGGATAGCACACTCTCGTTAGTACAGTAGGTGCGCGCCAGACTGGGGAAAGGCTGGGGGATGCCCACATGTCTAAATCTCTGCACATGTATCATAAAACCCTCGAAGTAGGTAAACGACGGGATGCAAGTAAGGATCTGCGCAGGATCCGTCCCCCTTTATACGGATTTAGCAATGATTACACTAATGTATCCCACTATAAATAGAAAGCCTCTCTCCCGTTTGTGGGATTCGCTCATTCTACACTTTATTAGCCCTATTAACTCTATAATAACTATTCTCTCTCTCATTTATAATCCCAATGCTATAAAGTCAGCTCGCAGACCATGACTTGACCCCTATAAACATAAATACTATATCAGTGGACGTAGGATTCACTATTGAGCATCCGAACCAGTTTAAACCTCGTATCTCTTTTCATACACTCACTCCCATATTCGGTGTGTGTCTCCTGAGCCAGCTCAGCGTTTCCCACGTGCGAGTCGTTGGTGTCAAAATCACGCATCAACAGTATTCGATGTAAATATACATTATTTAAAAAAAAAAAAATTGATATAACACAAATTTTTTATTTTTTTTTATAACCAGGGTGTCTGGGCTACTTGCACGTACCTCAACTAATCTTCGAAGTTCATTTAATACTATATAAACCTAAAGGATCAAGTAAGTCACAATGTATAATATTATTGTGGTAGGTGACCTTATCGTTTGAACTAAGAAACTCAAAACAATCCCTTGAGGATGATATAACAAAATTTTATTGGCTTGTGATATGACTAAAGCGATACCTAATATTCTATATATATTCACCACAATCTCTCAAGTTTACCAAGCATCTTGTGAAGAAAGGAGTGTTACCAACTTCCTAAAAATTCGCTAGTGAGATTCAAAAGTTCTACAAGCACTGATGCAAATCTGATATTGACTCCAATTTCTCCAACATCCACCTTCAAAATTATCTGTCAAAAGTTAACAAATTTCTACTATTTTCTTATTTTGAATTAGGTGAGGAAATAATCATTTTGCAAATTCCCGATCTGGATAATGAACTTTCTTATTAGCACACGAGAAGGTAAGAACAAATCCCGCTTGGTTTTCCAATCGATTTTCAATTTGGTGTGAAAATTTTGCATTATTGTGATTATTAATTTTTATATCAGACTTATTATGTTTTAATATGTTATTTGTTTTTTTTTATTTTTCTTTTTTTTTTTCTTTAGAATTAGTTTTAGGGAATTTTATTAGTCTAAGCTTTCATATAGCAGGCATGAAAGAAAGAAAAAGAGGGTGTTACTTGCCTCAAGATTTTCAGTATGATATATTAACGAGGCTTCCGACAAAGTCTTTAGTGAGATTTAAAAGCGTTTGCAGGCAGTGGTGCAATCTGATATCTGACTCCAATTTCTCCAAGCTCCACCTTCAAAAATGTATGTCAAAAGTCATCATTTTTTCCTGGCGAAGAGAAGCTTATAGATCTTATGGTTATTATTGTTCATATAAATTGGTCGAGAAAGGAGTGACAGCAACCAACTTAGGCCCTTTCCAGTTCCCAATTAGCCCTATGTTGTTTTCGGTGGCATTTTGTGATAATTTAATGCTATTTGATCATGACTACTCTTCTCTGACAACCTGGTTTTCTGTTTATGATGCCATCACTCATCACCGGCGCGAGTTGCTTCCTCCCTTGCACATTTGCCAGCAAAGTCTTGGCCGTTATTTAGTGTTGGTCTATGATGCATCAAGTCAAAAATATAAGGCGGTGGTGCTTTCGTTCTCTGGTGAACTTGCCCATCTTGACCATTGCTATATCTGTTCGTTGGGTTCGGAAAATGAAGAATCTTGGAGGCAGTCGACACCTCCATTGTTGCAGAGCGTAAGGCACAAATTTCTACCAATTGTTGTGAAAGGAATTTTATATTGGATAGCAGAAAGACCTGAAAAAGGTTATGATGTGTTTGTACAACCAATGAACGTTGCAACAGAAGAGTTCATGGCAAGCATTCCGGTTCCTTGCCCGCCGCAAGACAGTTTTCCGCCGTCAGGGAATTACAAAATGAAGTTTTTGGAGATGAAAGAATCACTTTGCTTGGCCAATCCAACCTCTCCTGATGAGTTAGACATATGGTTTCTGAAGCTTTCAGATGAAAGTATTTGGATTAAGCTCCACAAAATCTGTCTTGACTCCATAGTAAATAGACCAGCTGGTTTAACAAGTTTCTTTAGAGGTGTGTTCCTGCCATGGCTAGTTACAGAGAGCTGCAACAACAAACTTGGGTATATGCTCGTACAACACACCGCCCATTCTCTGTATTGGTACAACTTGGATACCAAAGAGGTGAAATATATTGCCATGGATACCAACCAGATGAACCATGTTGCCCCCCTCGGTGAGTCGGCCGGCTATCTAATGCAGCTTTCAGTTATCAAGGACTAGAGGAATTTATATGAAAAGTTTTTCTATATAATTATTTAGGTGGTTGAAAAATTATGAAAGTTGGAAGGGTTTTAAGGTAATGTTAGAGTAAGCTTACAAACCCAGAAGATTAGAATTTTTTTGTTAAATGGCATGATGCAATGAATCATTCACTTTGTTTATTAATTTAAAACTGACTTACAAAGGCAAAACTGATTTAACAAGTTTCTTTAGAGGCATATGTTTTTCTGATTTAACGCAGTTAGGATCAAAGGCAATTGGTTCTTGGAAATAAAAGACAAATGGATCATATTAGTTTTTTGAATTCCATCATTTTTGCCGCATTTTGTGTAAGTCAATTCATACAATTGGTCCACATGGCAATATCAACCACGAAAAATCACACCCAAAATAAGATTTAATTATTTGAAATAAACATAAAATATTTCCACAAAACACATTTCCAATGAACAATATATAATTATGTACACACGCTTGAGCATAACTACAACTTTTCATTTAACTCGTGATTTTTTCTCTTCCTTTTTGTGACTTTACTATTATGGCCTCATTTTCAATTTAAATGTTAGTTTTAGATAAATTTAATTAATACATCAACTTATTTATTATTATTATTATTTTTTTCTTGATTTTATCATGAACTATACATAACAAGTAATTATTCAAAAATTGATTAGGATATAAGCTAGTTGAAATAGAAATTTAACTGATTTGTTAAGATCAAAGATTTTTTTTTTTTTATGGGATAAGACCGAATTAAAGTTCATACTTTTATTTTTATTTTAGTTTTTAGTATGTTGTCTTCAATCCCTTAAGGATGCGTTTGGTTCTAGGAATATTGTATTACTGAGAATGTTATATTAATGGAAAGATAGATTATCTTGAAAATTACTATGAATGTTTAGAGAAATGTGTTTGGTTAGGTTGGAATAAATTAGTGGGTATGTTATATTGATATGTTTGTGGGTAAGTTATATAAATTATTAAATTACTCTTATTTTTAAATATTAATATAATATTCTTTTTACTATTATTTTTATTATTAATTTTTGAATGATTTCTTTTAACCTCCTACATTGGAAATTTTGCTAAAACACTCCAACAATATAAAACATTAATTTGTAATAAAATCACCCCCATCCACCCAAGGGACTGCCGGCCAGCAACCACTGGTAGTCATCGTAATGGCCGTTTCTAATGCACGACCGGCCAAATCCGATAGCCGTGCACTGTTTCGGTGATTGCCAACAATTGCTGGTGGTGGTGGCTGGTGGCCGACAGTCCCTTGGTTGGCTAGGGCTGGTTGTGGTCTTGGGCAATTTTGATGAAGTTCAAGGGTAATTTTGTCTTAAAAATCCTGAGTATGAGGTTAAAATTGTCCACAAATTTTATTGTAAATTGTTTTTAAAACAAAGGCATTATTGTCATAAAATTTTATTAATCAAGGGCAAAATTGTAACAAAAATAAGATTGCCAAATAATCTTAAAATACCTAAGAAAATGGAGGTAATCAGATTATCTCATATATTACCAATAATGACTACTATTGGTTTTGAAAGATTATTAGAATCATATATCACTTGATAATCAAATATGGTAATCAAGTAATATAAGATGATATTACCTTAGAATCTCATATTACCCCCAACCAAACACACCCTAAATTCATTATTTATTTTGTATTGGTTCATATATATTTTCTAGAATTGTTACACCTTTAATCTTCTATCTATATTAGCATCATATTTGCCTTTTGATGTATGGTTAATTAGTCGAATTAAAATTATATATATATAATTCACCATTTTTTAAGTCATCCAAGAGCGTTCTTGGATCACTTCCAAAAGGTTAACCAATGACAACATTAGAAAGAGAGGGAAATTAATAAATAAAAGGAAAAAAAATTACAGAGTAAATTAAAAAAAAAAAAAAAAACAAGCTTATTAACATGTATCAACCGCAGTAGAAAAGAAACCGAATGTTTGTTAAGTGTTCTTATAGTAATTGGTTGTGAAATTAATTTTGAGTAATTGAGAGAGAACACTTTTTTTGCTTTTGAGTTGAGATGGCAGGACAAATGTTTACAGTAGGTGCAATTAATCACCACTGAGACTTTATCTTGGTTTATAAACATTAATTAGTTTCTCCAAAAGCTCAATTATGAAAACAGATCGGATGGAGGCCTAAAAAAATTTTTGAAAGAAGGGAAGAGAAATAACTTCATACTTAAATTGCGGATAAATTGATCAAAATTATAAAATAACAAATGCTAATTGCAAATAAAATGTTACAGAAATTAATTGCATGGTTAGAAAATGAAAAAAAAAAATAATAATAAACATGAGATTTACACTAAACTAATGGAGTGATGATTCATGGTAATTTTGGATGGGCAAAGATCTTGACTACCCATAGGATGTTCATATCTTTAAATGAGTCCGTCATCAACCTTACATGAGTTATATATATATAGTGTGCGTTTGGTTTAGGGAATGTTGGATTACTGAAAAATTAGATTACCTTGAAAATTACTGGGAATCTTTAGAAAAATGTGTTTGGTTAGTTGAAATAAATTGGTGGGTATGTTTTATTAATATATTTGGTTGAGAGGAATAAATTGGTCGATATGTTATTTAAATTATGGAATTGTCCTCTAATTAAATATTATTATTATATTATTTTTTAATATTGATTATTGTTGGATTATTATAACCCCCTTGCATTTAAAAACTTAGCAAAAACAACCTCATAATAAAAGTTTGGAAAATCAACAAAGCACCCCCACCAACCTAGCCACTGCCGCGGTAACCTAACGGCGCATAGAAGGCAGGAAATGGCCTCCATGTGCCGTATGGCCATTTTTGGCTAGAGATCTGGCCGAAAATGGCCATATCAATGAACAGCGGCAGCTGGTTGCAACGGTGGTTGCCGACAGCAAGTGGGTGGGGGTGTTGGCTTGGATGGTCTACCATTTGTTTTGAAGTCAAGGGTATTTTTTTTTTTTCCAAAAAGCTAATTAATTGGGGTGAAATTGTAAAAGCTATATTCATATAAATAAATTTAAAAATAAGGGCATTATAGTCCTAAAATTTTATTAATAAGAGATAGAATTGTAACCAAAAAAATATTACCCTGTTAATCTTACAATACCTAAAGGATTTGAAGAAAATCAAGAAATGAAGCAAAAAACCAGAGAGAAAATACGAGACTCTGTTTCAACTGAATAAAACAGAAAAACTTTACTAACTGAAATAGTTACAAGATTGTACAGTATACATACACATTATTAAGCCAAAACGCACAGCATTACATAAGTCTGATACTTTACAGGCACACCCCCAAGATTACATAAGTCTGATATTTTGCAGACACACCCCATATATACTTCAGATCCTCTCTTAAACCAAACTACTATATTGCCTCGATATTCCATATCTTCCCTTAAACCAAAACTACTACACTGCCTTTATATTTTATATCTTCCCTTAAACCAAACTACTCAACAATCTTCTCAGCATTCTACACTACCTTTATATTGCATATCTTCCCTTAAACCAAACTACTCAACAATCTTCTCAGCATTCTCACAATGGCATTATGTTCTTGCTCAGAAAACACGCAGCACATCAACTTAACAATTGAACATAACAATCAAGCAAAGCTACTATATTTGCATCTTCAAATCTGCTCAAAAAGAAAAATTCTACAGCATAACATATTCACATCTTGCAACTTCAAATTTGCTAAAAAAAAAATCTTCTGTAGCAACAACTTCAAACCTTACAGAAATCCTATCAACAAATACAACTCCCTTGCAGATACCTGATTTAGCATAACATATTCACATCTTGCAACTTCAAATTTGCAAAAAAAAAAAAAAAAAAAAAAAAAAAGGAAAAAACAAAACAAAACAAATATTTTGTAGCAACAACTTCAAACCTTACAGAAATCCTATCAACACAATACAACTCCCTTGCAGACATCTGATTTAGCATACCATAAACAAAAACAAAAACAAATAAATTCTGCAGCATACCACAACCTCACATTCTAATCGCTACAGACTACTTTGAATCACTACAGGTTACTCAGTATCAGAAACATTCACTGCAAGATAGTGACTGAGGTTACTCTGAACTAGAAACATTTACTGCAAGTTACTCTGAACCAGAAAATATTCTTCTCAACTGTCAGTACTGCTGGGTAGAGAAGAGCTAACTTTTAGCTTGTCCCCTAACATTGCAAATCTAGTACTCGCTAGAGCCTTTGTTAAAATATCCGCTATTTGATATTTGGAAGTAATATACACATTCTGCAATTTTCTGGTGACCAGCTCTCGTACAAAATGCACATTAATCTCTATGTGTTTTGTGCGGGCATGAAAAACAGGGTTGGATGATAGTGCTCCAGCACTCATATTATCACACCAAACTACTGGAGTATGACTTATGAGAAACCCAAGTTCAGTAAACAAATGCTGCACCCATACCAATTCAGTAGCGGCTTGACTGAGTGATCTATATTCTGCCTTACTAGAAGATACTGACACTACCTTCTGTTTTCTGGAAGACCATTGAATCAAGTTTCCACTAAGAAATACACTGTAGCCACTGGTTGACCTACAATCAGTCACATCTCCAGCCCAATCTGCATCCGAAAAAACTTCCAAAGTAAAAGGTTTATCTCTTGTAAATAGAATACCATACTCCAAAGTACCCTTAACATACCTTAGAACTCTTTTACATGCTGTCCAGTGTAGGATGCTACAAAAATTGACTTAATTTATTGACAGAAAATGCCAGATCTGGTCTGGACAAAATAAGGTATTGCAGCCCTCCAATAATACTTCTATAGAGTGTTGGTTGATCAAAAACTTCACCATCTTACTTGCCAAGTTTAAGACCTATAGCCATAGGTGTTAAGCAAGGTTTACAATCCTGTATACCAGCTTTGTTTAACAAATCCTGGGCATACTTAGTTTGGGTCAGTAATAATCCTGA